TTGTCTTCGTGAGTATTGTTTGATCTATCGTATTGTTTGGTGATGATTCCTCATTGCAATCGCCATGTGAATACCTGAACAATTGCATTAGCTTAATAGTATCAGAGTATTTGTTTGGTGGAACTGAGGATAAAATGTTCAGAAAGGACAAAATCGAACTGGAATATTTCAGTGGGGAAAGAGAATCTCTTCAACAGTCAAGCAGATCTTCTAGCAAACAGTGGCATTTCACATAGGAGGCTTCATAAGTAATCATTGACAACCAGATTGATATTCTTACAATAGCTGGGCATTGGATGTCTTGTGCGAGTGGGTGCTCTTCATGCGAACTTTACTCGATGGAAAACGACAGATATGGGTCGAGATTAGTGTAATCTTGAGATTTCTAGAAAAAAATTGAAAATTCCGTCAGGGAAAACTGTAATTTTTTACTAACCAACAACGACTTCCATACGGACAAACAACACCTTTCGTCCAATAATGGCACGGTATCGCCTTTTGAGTTCGTCGTTTTGCTGCACGTTGACTCAGTATCGTTGTTTTCTGAAACGATTCATTTTAGAAGATCTCTTAGTTGCCGGAGATATGAGCTGATTCTTGGAATTTGACCTTCAGAATTGTGGAGTTTTTGTGGAATAAATCGAAAAAATCATTTGAAGATGTTCACCTGTCTGCTCGGACTCTTACAGATGGTTTCAATTTTTTCGTTCGTTGATGCTGTTTCATTGATGAACATTTTGATTTTTTATCGCTAAGTTTTTTGTTTTCGGCTAGTAGTAGATGCAATTAGATAGGAGTTAATCTGTAAAATGACTAACGTACGATCACATTATTTGTAATGACAAGTATTGCATATCAATGATATTGTCATTGTTCTACTGATAATATTTTAATCACTATAAACGCTGGTCATTATCACTAGCGATATGATCGTTATACTAGAATTGCTTTCATTATCATACTAGTTATGCTATTATGATCATATAGTCACCATCTTAAGTCGCTGAACGATCTTAATGAATTCCTGAATGTTGTCGTCTCTGATCAAATACACTTCCGGATTTGATTCGAACTGATTCAAAATAACGATGTGAATGCGGTCTGAGATAATCTTATAGGTGTACAAAGATGAGGTTGAAAACTGAATAATACTCATTCACACATCGTCGGAATAACAACATTCACCTCTTTTCATCGTGTGTTTCTGTTCTCTCGCACTCAACACGATCAGCTCTTAACGCCAAAACGTTAATTCTCACGACTTACCAAAGACTTTAGAAAACAAGATTTTACTTCAAACGTATTATATTTTCTGTATGTTACAGAAGCTAACCGATTGATGTGTGGGAGTAGCAGAAGCTTATTGTAAAATCGAGCTGTTGTTCGTTGGTAAAAAAGCGAACTCCTCGAAAATGCCTTAAAAGTCAACCGCACACCACTAAAACACCCTTGCTAGTGACTTGAATTACACTGACTCTCAAATAATTTCCGCACTAAAATAAACAAATTTTTGTGGGTGTAATCTGACAGTAAATATTGCGCTGACATGAAATTTGCCTATTCACCAATTTAGAAAAATTGTGTAAATGTACAGGTCTGATTGTGAAGAAGATGCAAACGAAATTCAAGAAATTTCACAAAGATTATGTAAATTTCNGTCTCAAGAGAACTTCAGTCTGATTGTGAGTCTGTGGAGTAATTATGGCTCGTAATTAGAGTTTAATTTCAGACCTAAGCTTAAGTTTGTCACCGAAATTTTCACCAACACCTAAGCCTAAGCTTCCAGCTGGCAATAAAATTTGAATTGATCGTAAAGGTGGTGGTGATAAAATGAAAAATTCAAGGCGCACGCATATACGATAGATTTATCGAGACGAGACGAGATATACAGAGTAGCGAATGAAGTGAAATCAGACGTTGGTACCGTTGATATTCTGGTGAATAACGCTGGCATTGTGAACGGAAAGAATTTTTTGGACACTCCGGACGAGGCAATTGAACGCATTATGACAGTTAACGCCACATCGATGTTCTTCGTCAGTTTTGCTTTGCTCAGGCTTCGATTCTTTCAACAATAGCGTGTTCTCATGATGACATCTGAGAGTGAACGGTCTGTGCCATATGCAAAAGTTGTATTCGATGTCTATTTGAGAGTAAGATTGTGCGAATGATTTCG